TCAATGCCAGTCAACAGCATCCAGGGAGTCACACCAAGGTTTAGAGAGCCCCTGATCATTCAGCGAAACCCATTAACTGCTTTGACCCTTGGCAGGAGAGAGGGAAGGTGTCCATTTAATACCCACGTGGCTGTTAAATCCCTCCAGGGATGAGGGCTCTACCACTGCTCTAGTCAACCCGTCCTAGTGCTTGACAACCCTTTCAGTGAAGAAATATTCCCTAATATCCAACGTAAATATGATTCTAAGGCAGGCTTTGGGATGACAATGGTCTGCCACACAGGTTTAGTGCTGCCATGATAATCCACTGAGAGGAGCACAGCAACACAAACACACTTGTGTCTGTTTTCCAAACTACAACAAAGGGTTGGAAGTGCTCTCATGGATTGGGAAGGCAGAGGAGTTTGCATGCCAATACCACAGCTGGGCCTGACCTATTGACATTTCTGCAGGCTCCCTATTCCTACGCGGGGCTGTCGCTTTAAATTTGAATTGCCTGGGTTTTTTTCTCTCACAACAGCCCGATATTTTTTGCTCATGAAGGATAAATATTTACAAACCTTAACTCTCGCCAACAAAGGCATTCTGTTCCAGAATTTTCTTGGGCTTTTGTTCTGTTTTTAAACAGTTTTAGAAATCGTTGCCCAACATTTTAATTTCTGTTATTAAAACAAGCAAGTCAGTAAAAAGATATATGAAGGAGGGAAAGGACCACAGCAGCTCACAGTTCACATTCCAATGTTTTCAGCAACACGTTGAAAAGCGGCTGAGAGCATCTGCAGGGGACACAGGGGATAATAGCACAGTAACTCCATACAAGGACAGGTCACCAAGCTGTAGGAAACATGTTTTCTTGGTAAACTAATGAGGGTTCAACAATTTCATACAATGTGAGCTTGTAAACAGATTAAAAAAACCTAAAGGATTCAAGACAAAGCCTCGATGCGGCAGCACTTCTCCTCCAGCCAGAGGAGCTGACTCCATGTTCCTCCAGCATTTCAAGAGCTGTAAACAAAAGCAGAGCCCAGGAAAGCAGTGACCAGCTCACCATTCATCACTGCCCAAGTCTGACATCCCTGAGTACTTGACAGCCCACACACGTCCAGGGCCGTGGGCAAGCACAGCACACTTCAGTGGGACGCAGGGGAGGGCTCCTGCCCTGTGTGGGGCAGATGTCAGGGGAGATATCTGGCTAAACAAGAGCTCCCAGCACCAACCTGAGGCCAACCATACTTCCCGTGCCCAGTGGAGTATAAAGGGAGTCGTATTTCACATTTCTACCCTGTGCTGGCAAGGACATTGTGTCCAGCTCTTGTAGTCACACCTACAAAATAATATTCTCAGAAACAGCGAGTTCAGACAATGGCTAGGATAATAATTTTGGGTGTGAGAAAAACAGCCTTAAGGTGAGAACCCCAAGGAGTTCACTCAATCTAGTTTCCTAAGAAGAAAGTTAAAAAGCAACTTGACTCTGGTCCATGCATTCCTACCCAAAACAATGGGTAATATTAGTGGCTCTTTAATCTTGCTCACTGCAATCCAACAGCCGGAGGCTGGAGCTGCAACGTCCAAATCCAGACCTTAGGTGAAAATTGTTGCCATATGGGTCTGTGAGACTCAGATGTCTTTCCAGAAGAGATGTTCCCACTCAATTGCCCACACAATCAAAATTCAGGGGGTGTATCCCCCTGCCCACATTATGCTGAAGCCAAAGCAGCTCATCCTGATTTCCCTCACGCATCCCGGATCCAGAGGTGGTGGTGGAGACCAGCTCAAACCCTATGTGTGTTGCAGGTCGAAGAGGTCTCCCAGACCACACAGCTGTAGGAATCTCTGCTTTCTGGATGTTTGCTGTAGGAAAGCCAGTGGACAAGTAAGGACAAGGCACCAGCTGAGCTGCCGAGGGACAGTAAAGGGACCCTCAGAACAGGAGAACTCCAGCACATCTCCATGACAGTCACTGCCAGAAGGGAGCAGCCAGAATGGGCGACCAGGCAGCTCCTGTGGACAGAGAGATGGAGGGAGCAGGCTGGGAGCGATGAGATAAATGCTGGAGATAGATGATGCATTGCATACCCCTCGCACAATATAGAGCTGCTTGACTCTATTAGGTGGATGGATGGCAGGGAATTTAAGAAGAGAAATAGATTTTTTACTAAGCTAATTAGCTAAAAAGGCTTGTCTGGAAACACGGGCCCCATTGTGTCTGAAGTCTGCTGACACACAGCTCAGAGCAGCATTTTTCTTGCCCGTTATTACTCTGCCTTTCAGAGCATCTCTCACTAGCAGATAAAAGGGGGGTGGGATCCCTGCACCAAACCACAGCACGCAAGACACCCACCGAGATGCTCAAGGGACACAGGAAATACACGGGTGCATGTGTTTCTACATGTTTAGGTGTACATACTTGCAGGCATCTCCTATGTACACAAACGTGCATTACTCATTAATACATTCTATACATGAAAATATCAGCATAAAAATAATAAAATCCATGGAAGAGCAAAGTTTGCCGTCAAAACCAGCTCCTTGTTAGCCTGCCCTGTAATTTAAAAGCAAACTGGGGGCACTTGATGAAACAAAAGGGCTGTAGATTTAAGAGAAATAAAATAAAATTATGACTTGACCTAGCGCAGTCACTTCTGGAATCCACTACCCCAGGAAGTCATGGAGACACACACCAGTGGAACAGACATTTTAAAGGACTGGATAATTTTATGACCATTAATAACATTTGCAGCTATGCAAGCTAATAAAATGTTACAAGGGTAATCAAACTTCATGCTTCAATGTGTAAGTTGATCACCTGTGAGCGCTGGGAAGGAATTTCCTCTCTGGTGCTGTTGTGCTGAGCAAGTAGCCAGCTGTGTCACAGGGGTGCATTTTTAATAATAATAATAAAAAACCCCTTAATATATTAAAACAAACCAAAAAAATCAGTGTCACTGCTGCTGCCTCTGTGTCTTTGATTTGTTCTTCTCCTTCTGCAAGAGCTGGCACCCACCAGAGAGACACTGAATATCAGTGGGAGCTTTGATGTCAAATTCCTAAAGTTTGCTGGTGCGGTTTTGGGACAACATCTGCCACAATCCAGAAATAATATCACTTTACTCTTGGAGGGTTGTTCCTATGAGCTGGCAGCAGGAATACACTAAGCTTAACCTGTTGTTCCAGGACCACAGATCCCATGTTTACTCCTTCCTGCTTCCACATCGGACAAGTTGTGTTGGCCAGTGAAGCACAGGCTCTTCCATTAACTCTGAGCCCCAGCCTAGAACAGCTCCAGGTATTCCCAGGAAAACCTGGCAGCTTTCGAGCTCTCTACCACTCCAGAACTACCCAATGTGTTATTTATAACATCCGAGCAGCAACCTTGGTATTTCCAGTGTTTTCTTCCTCGGAAGGTAATGCCCTCGTAATTAATGAGCTGACAGAAAACGCTGCAATCTGCTGCCACAGGCTTGGGGAAAAAACGCCAGACTTTGCTCCTGCACATCCCCTTCTGTTTGAGGGAATCCAGACACAGTTCAGCCAGCTGGGCAGGAGGCTGAAGGGAGGATGGGACGCAGCAGAAGTGTCAAAATAAACCTTCTACTTAGAAATAACCAGCATGGGGAGTTACAAATAGAAGTCCAAAGGGCGGAAGAGGATGACTGTGTGCTCAAACAAGAGACCTGCTCCAGCAGAATTCCCTCTCCAAAGCAAAAAGAGAAAATAGAGATTTTATAAAATGTATATTGGTAAAACACGTGCTCTGGGCTTTCCACCAGCTCGCTGCGGTCAGAGCACAGCAGGGCCTGGTGTGCTCTCCTGGGAAGTACAGGCCTTGGGAACACAGGATTACAGCCCACTGCTGTACCCTTCTCCATCCTCCCTTCCCTCCACCGTGGTTAAAAATCACGTGTATCACCACGTACCAACCTGAATCCTTCACTAAATCCGAGCAGCCACTGCCCAGGTCTGGTTTCGCTGATCATGTTCCACCTGCCCTTGGGTGCACCTTTTCCTAGGTCCAAGAGCCAGGGGTTGGAAGAGGCAAGACACACTTCCCCAGGACAGGAGGAGAAAGCCTCTTCTTAGAATTGAGAGGTACATTACTTATCCCCTGGGGTTTCCTTATTCCCGAAGTTCTCATTTGAGTAGAAAGTATGTTCCAAGGAGGACCATGAAGATCCATCAACCAGCCTGGCCATGAATGAGTTTGGGGCCATATTTTTTTCTCCTTCCTATTTGTCTTTAGAGAACTGCAGTACAATATTCCTTTGAGAGAGGGGAGTCAAAGGACGTGAGGATTACAAGTGTCAGCCACCCTTTCATCCCCTAACAATCATTCTCACTGTGACAGTGTCCTCCAGGCTACAGAACCCATATTTTTCTGAACACACAGCAGCAAGAATTGCAATCACTGCCCTCCAAAGACCTTTCCAAACAACACCCCTTCCTCAGCCACGGCAGCATTTGGCCTGGAACATGATATGCCCCGAGAAAGCTGTAACTTCCCCCATCAGGAAAGCATTTTAAATCACAATTAGAAGAGCACCATCATCAGAGCCCGGAGCTGACAGCACATGTGATGTCACACACATGAACCCCAGCATGCTGACAGCAGCCTTGGGCCCTGATAGACTGTCAAATTACAGGCAATAAAGTATGACATCATGATGACATCATGGAAGGAGAAATTTAATTCCCAGCTCAGAGGCTATCAGTTACTGCTTTACTCTAAAACCTGTCGTTATCTGCGTGAGCAATGAGCAGAATCAATCATTTCCACGGCTCTTTACGGCCACCATAAATTCGGAACACTCACATCTCAGCCACCTTCCCGGCTATGTTCGAGCCCATCTGTCGGTTCCTGCAACGCTCCTTCAATGTCCCGGCACTGCAAAACCCACAAGCACATTTCGGGCACGATCATGGGAAATAAGAGACATTCACAGCCGGGATGAGCTCACACACGTTTTGCTTCAGATGCCTGTCAGTCTTGCACGTGGCTTCCCTCAGCCTCAGGCTGACACAGATGGATTCACTGTGGACAAACCCTCTGACACCTGCATGACCTTCAGAAGTCAATTTTGACTCCGTTTTGACAAGCACTTCAAGATGTGCTTCGAGATTGCAAGCTGCCCATCTCGCCCCCTTCTGCCAAGGCATTTAAAAATAGATGTCAATAAAGTATTAATTTCACATAGACAGCAAGCATGTGGCCCAGCAGGCTGCAGCAGAGGCAGAGATGAATGTGCTTTCTGGTGAAATTGAAACAGGTGGAATATTTGGGGGACTTTTTTTGAGTAGATGACAATAATCTGGCTACTCTAACAAACAGGATCGTACACACAATTAACTTGGTCTTCATAACACGTCCAGCAGTGAAAAGGGATGGATTTTTCATAAGATCCTTGACATAGAAAAAGTGTTTTTTGTCTTTGTGCTACCTTTTATTGTTTTTATTTTACCCATTCCTGAAAAAAACAAAGCAGTGCCAAGACCTGAAAGTTATCTCCTGGAGCATCAGCTATATTGGAGACCTCCTGACTGAGATGAGCCAGGAAACTTCTCCACTGCAGTGAACCCCTATTTCTAATTTCCTGACCTCCATGGCATTAGATTAGGTCAATCTGATCTTTACCAGATACCTTGGAAATAGAAAAATACTCTCTGTTTGCTCCCACCCCAGACACAATTCCCCACAGGGACTGAAACAACAGGACTGACCCATTTCCATCCATATTTGTCCTGCTCACCTCTTACAGATCCTGGGCAAAAAAATCATCACACGTAAAAGTGACCTCCCCGTGTTATCAGTGTGACTGCCAGGGACCTTCGAGATATCCTTGACTCAATCCCAAAATCCCTGCCCAGGATGCTTAATGGTGGTGCCTTTAAGGGAGTTCAGCTGACAGATATCAAACATGACTGGAGTTTTGACACTTTTTTAACTGTTTGTTGATGTTCGGAATGACCTTGTTGATGTGTAATCCATAGGGAGAAGAAAAAAAAGTCACACTGACAGTTGGGCACAAAGTACTCAGCTTCTGCCAAGGATAACCTTGGTGTCAGTATCAGCTGGATCATAACCCAGTGCAGAGTTCACTCCCTTTTCCAGATATTTTGTGAGATAGTCTTTACACTATCTCAATCATTGCTTCTGCAGAAAGATCAAGGATAACAAGTTTGGAGATGAAAGAACTTTGCAAGTCACCTTCTCTTTTCTGACAGGCAGTGAATAACCCAAAGAACAACGCCACCTCATTTAAGAAGGGCTGTGGGACAAGTTGCTTTTGGCTCTTGGTATTGAGGGAGGGCAAAAAACTGCTAAACTGTAATAACCCACTTTGGTTCTTAGGTCTTGCAGTCACAAAAAATCACTGTGTCATTTCAGCTCTGCACCTCTGATTACTTGGAGGCTTCCTGGAAGTGTGACTTCGCACTAATATCCAGCACTGGGAATGATTTTAAAAGGCCACTGAGTTTCCCTTAACCCAATTTCCTCGGTCCTCATCAGTTACACACGATTAACAGCTAATTATAGGCAGGTTCTGAGACAGCAGCCTGCATGCAACGCTCACCATACTCAGTGTGGATGACACACCACGCAGCTCCACGTTCACCAAGCAGGAGAGAGAGAAAAACAGGCAAAGGATCCACTAAATAACCTCAAACTGGCTGTATAAATGTAGCTCAGTTAAACATTCAGAGCGTATGCGACCGTAGCACTGGCAATTACTGGATTTGTTACTGCCTCAACTATCATGACAGGCATTAAAATAAATCTCATTTATATGACATACAGTCATCTAGAAATGCCTTTTTTTTTATATATATAATTCTTTTAAGATGTCAATGCACTACACATGGCTCCGTTTTGAGACCTCTCCAGGCTGGAGATCAGACAAGATATACAAGCCTTTCAGCCTGCCAAGTTTCATACTTGTTAAGAGTGAGGCTGAATTCTGAGCGTTTTCTATACAGTGCCTCCATGAATGTGATTAAGGAAGGCCTCTTGCCATTAAATGTTGCTGCAGGGATTCAAAACCCCCTCTCCCATCAGCCCTAAAGGCTAGGCTCAGCACTGCTGGGCTCCAGACGTTCAGTTTGTACTTGCCTCTGTAGCTTGGGCCCCGGATGTTTCTCTGGAGCCTGGAACACAGCCCAGGTGTTTCTCCTGGCTCCTCAGGCATCCTCACCCACCTCTGGTACCCTCCACCCCCGTCCTCTCAGTAAGTCACACGGTTATACCAAGCTAGAAGACAGGGGGACTGAGGAATCTCTTAGTTGTTCTGGCCCAGGGATGCCAAGGACTGATCAAGAGGTTATTGATGTGAAAAACTCTGTCAGGAGGGTTTATGTTGGGTCTCAGGAAAAGGTTCTTCCCCCAGAGGGTGGTTGGGCACTGAACAGGCTCCCCAGGGCAGTGGGCACAGCCCCAAGGCTATCAGAGCTCAAGGAGCATTTGGATGATCCTCTCAGGGACAGGGTGTGATTGTTGAGCTGTCTGGGCAGGGCCAGGAGTTGGACTGGATGGTCCTTGTGGGTCCTTTTCAACTCAGGAGATTCTGTAATCCTATGAAACCCAAGAGCTCCTCCCTCAAGAGGTCCTGTCTCCAAGCTCAGGGTGGTTGCATTCCTGAGAAACACAGTCCTGAGGCAGCAGCTTCACTGAATCGCTCTGCCCTTAAATACTTTGGAAAGGGACATGTTGGCAGATACTGGAACTGGGACTCACCACATATATCCACCAAGCAGCAAAGAAAACCACTTGCTATGTTCCTCCATTTACACATCACACCACCACAAATCACAGCTCAATTAGTCTCTCCTGGAATCCATCACACATCTCCATAAGAACATGGTCCCAGCTACTGCACTATCCAAGCAAGTCGAGGCAGTAAATAGAAAGGGCTAATTGGGGAAGGGGGGAGACACTGTTTCCTGGTGTTAAAAATAACTGACACTTCCAGGAAATAATGGTATAAATAGAAAATGAAACCATTCCTCCTCCAAAAATATTTCATAATTATGTGTCATAAAAATAATTAGGTTATGGTGAATTAGTACAAATGTTTACAACAAAATTGCCATGCAAAACATTATGGGTAATAACATGCTAATTGCTGTAGAAGCAAAAGCTGATTATGTTTCAGCAATATTAAGAGTTGCCAACTCGGCGCTACTATCCAAGCTTCACTATCTCTCGGCAGCATTTAGGGACACAGGGAAAACTGGTGAGGAGAGAAGGAGGTGGCAGGTAGGCAGCCTGTACACTGCACTGTCCTTGCTGAGTGGCAATTCCTGGAAAGCTCATGCCAGGTAATCTTCAGGGAGCACACACAGGGGATGAGGTGTCAGAGAGTCACAGACTGTGCTGAGCTGGAAGGGACCCACACAGATCATCCAGTCCTACCCTCAGCCCTGCACAGGACTATCCCCAAGAGTCAGCCCCCTGTGCCCCAGAGGATCATCCAAACCCTCCTGGAGCTCTGGCAGCCTTGGGGCTGTGCCCACTGCCCTGGGGAGCCTGTTCAGTGCCAACCACCCTCTGAGGGAAGAACCTTTTCCTGAGATCCAACCTACTCCCCGGGTACCTTAGTGAACATGGAACAAGAGCAGCACCCAGGGCAGGTTGCAGCACAGTCACATCTCCATCTGCTGCCAGGAGGTGACCCAGACTGGGGCTGCCCAAGCTGGTCAGGAGTAGCTTATCTGGCTCCCATCAGGAGCAGTGCTGCCACTCCTGCGGATGTCAGCTGTGATCCTGCTCCACCCATCACCTGAGCATCTACTCTGCCCAAAGGCAGCCAGCCTGCAAGACCCCATCCATAAGCCTGGGCAAGATGATGCTGAGGTGGGGCTGACATGGCTTGCTTATTCTGAGGTCATGCAGAGTGGATTACTCAGTCTCTGCACCACCTTCTCCAGTACATCCCTCTCCTCTGAGTACCTGCTCACTGCCTGGCACATCCCAGACCCCTGTTGATTCAGATGCAGAGCACGTTCCTCTGGCTCCAGCCAAGAGCTGCCACACCACTTGCCCCAGAGGGACCAGATCCCTGCCACAGGAATGGTTTTATCCCCTGACTGATCCCAGGGCAACACACTCTCCGCTCTGCTGCCTGGCAGGGCCTGCAGGTCTCCAAGAGGTGAGCTCCACGTGCCAGCAGGCAGTGACCAGATCTGCAGCAGCCTCTGCTTGAGGAGGTCTCTTTGACTGCATGGATGTCCTCCTGGGAGCTGAGCTGTTCTGCAGACACATCTCCAACCCGCTGCTCACCTCACTTATATGCCTGATGCTTTTTGGGTTGAATCCTCTTGAACCAAGATGTTTCAGAAGAATTGGGGCCTAAGTATTCCTAAAGTATGGGCAGAGGTCTTTCACACATCCAAATAAATCTGTTGGGTTCCTAGTTTGCTTGTCACCAGCTGTGGCCAAACCCTGTCTCACAGGGAGCTCTGTGTAGAGTTAGAGGTGAGAGTTTAAAGTGGATTTCCTCAAAGTTAGCAAATCCCTGCAGTGTCCTCATTCAGAACCAAAGTGACATTATTTCCAACATCATTTTCAACATAAATGATGATAAACTGCATTGCATTTGAATGGGGGCCTTCACAGAGAACTCCAACACAGTTTAACTAACCCTCTTTCTGAGTAAATTTGGCTTGAACCCTCTTAATGTCCCTTATTCCAGTTTCTCCTGAAGGGGATGTGCGGAGTTTTACCTTTGAAAACTTGATCATCTTTGTCCCTTTTTTACAGAGTGGGAAATCAGTGTCTTTCCAAAAGGCAGAAATTCTTCATCACAGGTAAACCAGTGCCTGAAGCCAAGGCAGTTCTCATCACAGAGGAGAGATGACCTGGGTAAATGGTCCCAAGGGCAGGCAAAGCCCATCGCTCATGGAAGGTGTCCCTGCCCACGGCATGAGAGTTGGAACTGGATGATCCTTAAGGTCCTTTCCCATCCAAACCATTCTAGGATTCTCTAAGGGAGCTGTGGACCTTTGACACCTGCCACAACCCCTCCCATCTGCAGCTCCAGCGATGCCTCGTCCGCTGATGCTCCTCCCGAGTTTGCAAATACCGGCTGAAAGCAGCCATGGAAGTGATGGTTTTTATTATGGTTGGTTTTGTTGGGGGTTTGTTGTTGTCGTTGTTTTTTCCCCCACAAAGCATCGTTTCAGATGTTAATTCTGACGCCGGCTAATGAGAGGCTGTGCTGTGAATAGACTCCCCGAGCGGCTCGGGGCCGGGCTCGCCCTCCCGCTCAGCTCCGCCGTGTTAAAAGCCGCGCTCGGCGGTGCCGGAGCCCGACCCTCCGCTGTGCCCCGCTCATTATGCACCGAGCCACACCGGGCAGCTCCCGGCACAGCGCGGGCACGGAGGTAAACTGGTGTTTGAAAACAAAGGAGGGTTCTCTCCATCCTAATTAGCAGCAGGTTGCGGAGTGCAGCGACGGAAGGCGAAGGTCACTTCCCACAAGGCTCTGCTCAGGATGCCAAAACACCCACTTAATTCAAGCGGCTCAGCAGGCAGAGTCAGACCAGAGCAATTACACTCCCTGGATTTCCCCACGGAAGGTTTTAACAATGCAACTCTCAGGAAAAAAAAAAAAAAAAAAAAAAAAAAAAAAAAAAAAAAAAAAAAAAAAAAAAAAAAAAAAAAAAAAAAAAAAAGAAAAAAAAAAGATGACTGCAGGAGCTCTTTATTCTGCCACCTTGGAGCAAGAGGAAGCTCAGCCTACCGCGCCACCGGCTCCGGGAACGGCACGGCTGTCTCTTTGTGCCTCTGCACTGGGAGCCCAGCTCAGAGGGTTAGCTTTTTCTCTTTAGTTTTTTTTTTTTTTTTTATCTTGAGAAATGAATAAGAGCAAATTTTAACATTTAAAAAACAAAGCCCAAAAAGACCCACAAACATGAAGACCCTTTGTAGTGGGTTGAGTTCCCTCTGAGTACTCCAGGTTTTCTTGCAGATGCTGCCAGCGAGAATTAACCTTTAAAGGAATCATCTAAGCCTGAACCCTGGGAGCCTCCTTGGGAGAAGCAGCTCCTCTGTTGGGATGCTCCTTGCCTGGTTCAGCCCAGGGATTCAGCTGTTCTGTAAATGATTCACTGCACCTCAGCCACCTCACACAGACACTCTTCTGAAAGGTCAACGCGCCGTTTTTACCCTCAGCTGATACCCTCCTTGCACATCCTCCAGATGATGTGCGTCCACATCTGTCCTCCTACACACACCTCTCACAGCTCCCTCATGCAGCAGCTCTCCCTTCAAAGCATCTGCACAGCCCTTGGCACCTTCTGCTGACGGCAGGAGCATTTCCCAGGGGTGCTGTGTACAAACCCAACTCCCTTCTCCCCTTCCAAAGGCTCCAGAATGAGGAATTCATGGTAATTTTCAGTGGGAAAGGAAGACTGAGATTTTTAAAAGTTATTTTGTTTTAGCCTGATAAACAAGAGGTGCAGACACCATCTAGGTCCCTCCTCAAAGGCTTCAGATACAACATGCTGTCCAGAACCCTCTTCCCTGTTCCAGCTCACAGCAAGTGCTCCCCAGCACATACTAGACAGGATCCATCCACCCCAATCTGGAATGGATGGAATGGCTCCAGCCAGCAGCTCTGCAGGAGGCAGGGCAGCCATAGGTTTAGTGCAGCTTGCTTTAAATCATTTGTGAAATACATTTCAGGGGATGACCTGCAGCCCTCTCCCTCCAACACACTGTTCAACAACCATCTCCCAGCACCGAGGAGTCCAACAGACCCCCTGCCTTCCACACCTGAGTCACAGCTGACTTGTGGTCCATAAACCCACCCTCTACGTTGGACCAGCAACCCCAAAAGCATCCTTTAGAGCTGCAGTTCGCCCTTCCTTCCACTCCCAGCTACAGTAACAGTAACTAATACTCAGCACTGGCATCACAGAGGTTTCCAACTGTTTCCAAGCAGCCCATAAAATCGCCGACAGTGCTTGATGGGGCTCCAGTGTTTGTGTATCACAGCCATGCCTGCTGTTCCCAGCAAAAAGAGCATGTTTGCCTGGCACAGAGCTAGGGATGGACCAGGGGATGCATCATGTGGGTCTCCACAGCTCTGTGCCACTCCTGTTCCGTCACAGGCTGCAAAGCCATCATCTATCCTGGCACATCTCTTGGCATCAGATTGACTTTGCAGATCTAGGTGACTGGAGCTGAAAAGTGGTTTTCTCTTTGCTCAGGAGATGTTTGCCAGGTCCCTTCTGAGATCGCTGAGAGACGATTTTAAGTGCAGGCCTGACAGGAATAGTGATGCTCGATGGGGAAGGGAGGTTTCCACCAGGGATGGACAGCTCTCCACCAAGCTGGTAATTCCATTATGCCTCCATTGCTCATATTAAAACACTGAAGGATCCTGCCTGTCCTCTGGCTGCACTCCCAGTCACCCCTAACCACACCGCTGGCCACTGCTCCCACAGTGGATCCCACAGAGATGTCAGCTGTTTTTTTCTGGTGCTCAGGTTGGCTCGTTAAACACTTAAAGTGATAAAACCCCTGACCAGGTGAAACAGAGGATGTCAGTACCACCACCATCCTTTCCCCAGCACACTGGGAGAACACACCTTTACTTCCAGGTCTCCATCAGTCCAGGTGAGAGTTATGGTCAATCAGCCAACATTCACAACAACCAAAACTGCAGCCAGGGCACCCGTGTACTCGGCTCTCTGCCCCTTCTCCCCATTAAAAGCAAATTCATAAAATCACCAGCAATTCACAAAGTTGGCCCTCTCCAGCCTTCGTTCCCCAACACTCATTGCCTGCAGAGCCAGAAGGAAGCGCTGTTTCCCTCTCCTCTCCTGCCCCTCCACACCCCCAGAGCCTCTGCTCTGATGAAGTTTTAGCTGCTCCTTTTTCCGGGCAACACCAGAATTTTCTTCACCCATTTTCTTTCCAGCCTCACTTGTTGCTGGGAGATCACTTGAGACAAGAAGCTGCTCTGCTCAGCAAAGCTCCTCCAAGCATTTGACAGGGCACCTGCTGAGCACAACAGCCAGTCCCAACACCACCTATACTGTTGATATTAAGTAGGAGATCTCTCACAACACCCACCCTTAAGGAGAGGGTGAAGGTACAGCAGTGCAGCCTATTTCCCTCCTTTTGCACACGACCAGAGCCAGGGAAAGTCCCTGGTCAGCTTCTTCCAAGGGTGCCGGCAGGAGATGAACACCAGGAAGGAGCACTGAGTGCTGAAGCATCCCCACACTGAGCCAGCACCACAACTTCCACTCTTCCTGCAGTCTCCAAACCCATAGGTGGGAGGAGATCTCCATTCTCAAAGCTCTGCTGACCAGCACAACCCTGCACCCTGACGGACCCTCAGAAACGCCCCTTCTCCGCCGCCCACTCCCCCTCCGAAGCAATTAAACCCTGACTGCTGTGGCTGGGCAAGATAAATGCTGTTTATTGGGATGGCTTTCCTGTATGCCAAACATAAAACAAAATGCCAATCGATACAGCTGCCTCACCTGATGCGTTTATTTCCCTTGTCCTCCTGCCCCTGCTTTTAATTCCGCTGTGTGCTGGAGCCCTCGGTGGGCCTTGTGCTGTGGTGATAAACCAACAGATCCTCATTAACCCCCAGCCTGTGGGCAAGAGCAAGAATTTGCCTTTCTCTCCCTTTCCCTTTTCCCCTTTTATTTTTTTTTTTTTTTTAACAAAACTCTCCCTCTATCAATATTTGATGAGGGTAATTTCAAAGACTTGTTTAGTATGATCTCCACATAAGGAGTCCTTCGGAGTGTTTATCACGTTCGAGGTATAATTACATTCAAATCCTGAGACACAGTTGCCAGGGTTACAGCTGCTGGTGGTTCCTCCAGCTTTTGTGTGTCTGGGGTTTCTCACCGCCCCCTGTGCACACACACCCCCCACGCTCTGCTCCTTTTGCGGCTGGGATAGGACAGGAGGGTGATGGGCAGGTCATACCAGCACCTCCCAGCCTGAAGAAGTCAGCATCACCTTGCAGGGTGTACCAAGTGTGGGATTTTGGGGTCAGGAATGGGGTAGAGGGAGAGCTGAACAGGGAGTTGAACACTGTTGAAATCATATTATAGTAAAATCCTCGACCAGTGACAGGACCCCAGGGCAGTGGGCACAGCGCCAAGGCTGCCAGAGCTCCAGGAGGGTTTGGACAATGCTCTGGAGGGACAGGGTGAGATTGCTGGGGTGTCTGTGCAGGGCTAAGGGTTGGACTGGATGATCCTGTGGGTCCCTTCTAGCTCAGGACATTCCCTGATTCCATGAACCTCAGTGGCTGTAGAAGCTCCATGGAAGGAGAGGCAGCAACACCTTTCCCTCATCCCTTGAATACCCAAGTGAAATCCAAAGAGTGAAGGTATGAACAGCCAGAGATAGAGGGTTGCAGAATCCCAGGGGAGAGGTCCAATGATGCCAGTGCTGCTGCCATGCCAGCCTGGGAACTCCAGCCCTCTCAGCCTTCCTACCACAAGGAGAATCTTCCTGAAAGACACTTGATGCCCTAGAATACCAGCTCTGCATGTACCAAGGCATTCTTGGGAACATTCCTAGCAGTAACCTGGCTTAAAGCACACATATATATATGTGTGTGTTCTTTAAGCATATATATATTTACACACACACATATATATATATGTGCGTGTGTATGATGTGGGCTATCTGCTGGAGACCTGGTCTCTCCTGACCAAGCAGAGAGGGGAAAAGGGCTGTTAACTCAAGCTCCTTAACCGAAGCCCAGCTCCAGCAAGGCTGTGTGGGAGGGGTCAGCTGACCACCAGAGCTGGGAACACCCCTAACTTCACTCTCAGCTGCTGGTGTGGACCTATTGGGACGGCTCCAGGACCCTGCCAACCTGGGAGAAAATAAAACTTGAGCATTTCCACCGCAACACAACATCCCACCTCTGCTGCACCAGCTACTTGGAGATCTCTGTGTCAATGGCAGTGCTTGAGGAGGGGTTAATAACAACCCTCGGGGAAGGGGCAGCCCAAGGAAAAGCCCTTCTCTGCTCCTGCCCAAGCTCTGGGGCTGAATGAAGCCTGCCCAGCTGGATTTACCTCCCTTCCCAAGCCTCCACACAGGCAGAGACTCAGCTCATATCTTGGATTTCCTGGACAGTGTCAGTAAATGCTGTTTCACTGGGGCAGAGAGGAGCTGGGATTGAATTGCCTTTGTTCTAGTTCCAGTTTTAAATAATATGAACCTTGGTACAATAGGCAGCGTTATCACTAATCCCCACAGCTGAGCCTGAAATAAGCTTACAAACCATGCAGCAGGCACTGTGGGAAGAACAATTATTCCGACAAAGGATGGAGAGGGGAGGAAACAACCATGAGCTCCTTGGATTAGATGGAGGGTGAACACAATTGTTGTCAATTCACCATAAATAAATGATAAATAACATTAAAAAAAACACCAAACATGAAACAAACCCAAAAAACAACTGCAGCGTGAAGGCCTGGTAAAATATTTACAATTATTTCAAATAATAGAAAAAAGGTACCTGCTACAGCCAATAGGTTGTAAAACAAATTCAGATGGAAGCTATTGTTTACCCCTAAATCAGCTCTAATGCACTGGCAAATGTGATTATCTGCATTCTGAGGGAGCAGCTGTATCTGCATTCATTACAGGTGTGCTCAGTGAAGGCTCTCTTGGCCACAGGTTCATTTGTAATTATTAAAATGCATCTTGTTAGCCATGCAGCAAGTCCCAAATTTCTGGGCACCGGCACATGCAGTATTTGCTTTAATTTATTATGTGTGCTTTATGTATTATTTTACTGTGTCAATGCCACGGTGCAAATGAGAAACCCTATCTCAGAGGCGCCAAATGGAACAGACCTGAGCACTTCATGTCACCCGCACACTCGGCGCTGGCACGTTCTCATGGGGAAAGCTTTTCCATCAAGGACAACCAGAAAGCTGGCAGCCACCCTGGCTGCTCCCACTGCCAGGGAAAGGCACCAGCTCAGTACTTGGGTGCACACCAAGGCGGAAGCAGTAATACAGGAATGGAGGAAACTCGTTGTCTCCCTGAGGGGGACACAGCAGTCACTGCTGGGCCACCCTGTTATTTCAGATAACAGCAAATAACAGGCAAATACAGGGAACTGACAGGAAAGCAGGAAGGGAGAGAAGCCACAAGATAGTTTGCAGCATGAGATGGGAGAGATCATAGAACGGTTTGGGCTGAGGGGACCTTTAAGCCCATCCAGTGCCACCCCCTGCCTTGGGCAGGGACACCTTCAGGGACACCCAGGTTGCTCCAAGGCCCATCCAACCTGGCCCTGGACACTTCCAGGGATCCAGAGGCAGCCACAGCTTGTCTGGGCAACTTGTGCCAGAGCCTCACCATCCTTACAGGGAACAATCTCTTTTTAACATCCAATCTAACCCTGCCCTCTGTCAGCTTGAAGCCTTTCCCTCTTCTTTACTCGCAAGCCCCTCTCTTCAGGACTGCTCTCCATCCCTTCCCCATCTAGCCTGTATTTGTGCCTGGGACTGCCCTGACCCAGGCACAGGACCTCAAACTTGGCCGTGTCAAACTTCATGCCTCATCTCACTTACCCAAGAGGAAAGCAAGGGCAAATTCACACAAGAAATCCTAGAGCAGCTCTGCCTTGGCTGGAGCCAGGAGCTTTTAAGGGGAAGAGCCCTCACCTGGACACAGCTGCAAGGGGTGCTTGGCTCTGATGCTTAAAGGGTCCAGCAGAGATACCGGAGTCACTGGCATCCAAACACCACCCAAAATGCCTATACCATCCCTAAAGCAGGGGGGCAGGTGCAAACCTGATCCTGAGTATTTCCAAATATCAGGGAGGAAGGATGAAGTTATTGGGATGAAGGTCCAGAGCGGTGTAAAAGAGTCCTGCTTTGCGCCCTCACCTCACAGCGCAGTGGTACCAGGGATGCTGTTATCAGAGGAAGGAAATGGGATTGAGGTGACCACGGGGCATGTCTGAGCATTCAAATTACAAGCAGGGCTTGTAAGGGACAGGATCTGACATTTAATGCCTCTGTTTGCAAAGTGCTTGACATTCACGATAACAGGAGCAGCACAGGCAGGCAGCGAGGGCTGTTGGCTTCCTGGGAAAACAAGTGCACCACGAAAACAGCCTGGTTTTCCCTCTTCTCTAGCTGGGAAGGTCCCTGGGAGATGCAAACACAGGGAGCCAAGTGTATTACAAAAGCATCTGCAGCATCCCTGGGACAGGCTGCCTGCAGACTCCTGGATAAGTCATCTTATCCCCCCATGCTTTGGCTTTCCACCCCAGAAGATGGATCGTCTATTCTTGCAGGTTCTGCAGGAGATGTGCCACATGTGTGAAGCCCAGAGCCCAAAGGAGGCAGGGTTTGATCTTATCCAAGGCTCTGAGGAGCCATTATAAGAAAAGTAAAGTTCAACCCTCATTCTTCTCTTGGAAAGCCACAGACTGGATGGAAATAACTTCTTTTAAAAGGCGCCTCAGCTGACAGCAGTTCAGGAATGGAAGAAAGGAAATTAGCATGTCAGCTAATGCTTGGCAGAAGCTGGAGTCTTGGAACCAGTTTTAATGCAGGAGTCAGCTTGGAGCAACGTAGTTGCTACCACTGGTGTGGGCATCTGTGTCCCCAGCAAGAGGAGCCAATCTCTGGGAGCTGCCCAGATTGTCTGGATGGTGCTTCGAGCAACCTGGTGTAGTGGAAAGAGGGATGGAACAAGATGAGCCTTAAGGTCCCTTCCTGCCCAAAGTCTCTCCTGTTGCCATGATTCCCTTCCCACAGGACAACCCTCAATCCCACACTGGCCTTCAGAGGTTCTCCTGGCGTGGCTGGAGAGTGACCTGCAAGAGCAGACCAGTCTCGAGGGGTCCCCCAATGGTCCCAGGCTTTACAAGGGCAGATCCTGGCAAAGCTGGGCTCAGGAAGGTTGATGACCAGCACATGTGAACAGGCACGGATTTCCACCACCGTGTTGAGGTACTGTCCAGCAAGGAGAGAGGACTGGTGAGAGGGGAGGGAGCAGAGCCCGGGGACCCCGGAGCACAGCGCAGCTCCCTGCTCCCTCACCCATCCAGCCAGCCGTGCCTTCTCCTAATCACATTAAAATAACATTCTCCCACCTCATTTTTTCTTATTAGAAATGAACAGATTTAAAGCATTTCCCCTCAAATTATGGTTCACCTGAGTAGATAATTAAAAGACTATAAAGGAGATACACTTTTATGTGTAATTACGCCCACTTCTGCTGCCGTATCGGGGCTTCAAAAATATTTGCAAAACAACTCAAAACTTTTATTTTGTCAGTGCAGTAATTGCTGCTTGTCAGGGCTATCGGTGCCGGTGTCTGCTCTAATGAGAGCAGCATCTCACAGGCAGTCTGATGACACAGGGAGGGTGTGGAGCTACAAAGCACCACGGGGAAACTGCTGGCACACCTGTGGGAGCCACGGAGCTGGAACAAGCTCACCTGGGGCACAGGATCCACTAGGAATGGCCTTGGAAAGGAGAAGGATGTCTGTTTTCATTTTATGGGGAGATGGGAGGAATGTCTGCAGCAGCAAAAGGGAAAGGGGAACAGGCAAGGATGGGATGCTCCTGCACTCTAAAGGTTTCCAGTGTGGCCACAAAAATCCCAGGGATGTGTTTACAGCTACAGATAGACCTGAGCTTCCTGTTGGGAACAGCAAGTCCCAGAGAAATAATCCAGCAGGCTTCTCTCTGACTTAGAACCATGGAATCAGCAAATGTCCTGAGCTGGAAGGGACCCACAAAGGTCATCCAAATTCCTGGCGCTGCACAGACACCCCAACAATCCCTCCCCATCCCTGAGAGTGTTGTCCAAACCCTCCTGGAGCTCTGGCAGCCTTGGGGCTGTGCCCACTGCCCTGGGGAGCCTGTTCAGTGCCAACCACCCTCTGGGGGAAGAACCTTATCCTGAGATTCAACCTAACCCTGCCCTGAGTTGTCCTTGGGCAAAAGTCCCACCCACCCCAGTGGGTGAAGCTGCTGAGGTGGTTTGGTTACATTGGATTTAAGACACTGCCTGTATGTGCTGCCTGGTGACCCTCAGGCATCAACACAGGAGCTGTTTTAAGAACCACCTCCCAGCACAATCTCCAGCTGGGCACAAATTTGGGGATCTGATTGGCATGCAAAGCTGCACCCTCTTCCTCAGCACTGAGGCAGATGGGCTTCCCAGAGCACACACCACAGTCCTGAGGAGAAGGCACCACCCACTACATTGGATCCATGTGTTCACAGAGCCAAGACACCAAACAGTTGCTAAATCCAGGAGGGAAGGTGAGTTCCCCGGGGGGATGGAGCTGCTGGGATGAAGGATGAGTGGAGACCACCAGCTCTGGGGTGGGCATCATCCACCCTCCTTGCTGGGACACCTGGAGCTGTCCAACGCTCACAGCCACTGCTGGGTGCCCAACACAGCCAGTGTGTGGAAAAGCAGCATTCCCGGCCTCCTAGGGAGCCAGCAGGCTTTGAGGTCCCCAAATCCACGCTCAAGCTCATTGTGTGTAAAGAAGATATAATACCCCATCTCCTCATAAGGGCTCGGGGAAATAAATTCAGTAGTGTCTGTAAGGAACTAAGAAATCTCCCTGAGCCTTCTCTTCTCCAGGTGAACACGCCCAGCTCTCCCAGCCTGGCTCCAGAGCAGAGGGAATCCAGCCCTCAGAGCATCTCTGTGGCCTCCTCTGGATTCACTCCAACAGCTCCGTGTGCTGGGGGCCCCAGAACTGGAGGCAGCTCTTCAGGTGGGGTCTCACCTGATTGGGGCAGAGGGGCAGAATCCCCTCCCTCGGCACTGGCGGTGGCTTTGGGGCAGTGAGGGAGGGGCAGATGTGCAGATTTAATCAAGGCAGTGCCTGAAACGCAGCTACAAGCAAACTGTGTGGAGTAAATTCTGCCCTGTCCTGATCCTCCCGGGGTGTAGGGAGGTGCAGGCTGCGCAGGAGTGTGTGACCAGATAAATAGAACCGAGACATTTGGCTGGCGACAGGAGGTGACTTTCTTGTGAGCATTCCCAAAAACCTCTCCCACACAGCCTGGAGATTTCCACATTGCAGCAGCCTCAGCCCTGCTCCGTTCGAGCCCTCCTGGCTCCAGCACTGCTGCAGCCTGCCTGGCTTGTCCTCCAGGAAATCCCGGCCCTTTGGATAGGCGATGAGGCATCTCCAATAATTCCAGCAGCTGCTGCCAGTTAATGTGGGCTGGCACGGAACTTTATCATCAGACCATATTGCTCCAATTACAATTTAGCCAATAGTCCTCTTGGGCTCATCTTTTATTTGTCTTCCACTGCTGAGTGTGGGAGGGAGGGAGGTGGGAGAGGACAGGGATGTGCGTTTCTCCAACCTCCGCCTCCTTCACTGCCCCCAGGTCTCTGTGCAGCAAATACATTCCCAGCCACTTTCTACCCCTGGGAAGGGCTGTCCTCAGGTCAGAGCTGTGCCCTGTGGCATGGGATGAGAGCATCATCCATGGAACAAGAGCAAGTGTCTCCCATCAGGCCCCGCATGTGAATCCTCTGGAGAACACTGCACCCCATGAAGCATCGTGTCTCCCAGGTAGCCTGCCTCCCCCTATCCCATGTTAAGCACAGTCCCAGCTCAGCTTTCTCCTTGCAGTGGGACTAATAAGGATTTACTCCACCACCAGTGCTGGAGTTAGTCTGTCGTCACACTGGTGTACCGGAGCACCGGGTACATGGAGGTTTCTGCTGGGGGGTAATTGGAACCAACACGCTGCTTCCATTTTTCAGACCTGAGAGCCATGAAGGAAGGATTTTTCGTCCTGAGGATTGGTCTCTGTCCTGGCTGTGACAGCCACCTGTGTCTATATTCAAAGCTCAGGGAAAGTTTTTTTGGATGCTGTGCGGCCTCAGTAAATGACATCTCGTTCCAACTGGGATGCAGGTGAAACTGGTGACTGGTTGACCTGTGGGGAAAATAAAACACAGGGGCCAGAGGCTGCAGCTGTATAAACCCATGTCAGGGAGGTGAGGGTCCAACAGGGAATGGCCAAACACATCCAGGCTCCGCTGAGGGGCTTCAGGCTCCCTGACATCCTTCAGAGCCCCATTACCCATCAAACTGTCAGCAGGGCTCCTCCAGACCCCGTTAAAAGGCTATTCCCAAGCAAGTTACTTTGGGAATGTTAAGCACTGGCTGTAAATGTCTTTTGGTTACTTAAGAGGAAAACCTCAGAGTGACCTGTGTAAAGGATATACACTCTCAGGGCCCCAGATCCCAGAGGATTCAAGAAACATGAACAGTCATTTAAACCACACCAATAGCCCATTAAATCAAGTGTCTGCTCAATTAAGGACACACAAACAGCTTCTCTCTGCCCTCCATCAGCTGCTGCCTGTTTGCATCTTGCGTGTCCAAAGACCTGCCAGGAGGCTGGATTTTATGGCAGAGATGCTCTGCTTTCATTTGTGGGGATGGGCTTGGCACAAATCACCCAAAACACCCAAAAAAACAGTCCTCCCCCTGTGTACAAGTGTGAGGCAAACTTCACTATGCTGTGTGAGCCCAGGGCAGTGCAGTCCTGCCCCAGGGACCTGGAGCCATCACCACCAGCACATGGAACTCAACCTAAAAACCCTATAAACAAAAAATAATCCCAGCTATTATGACCCCGGAGAAGCAGCAGGGACTTGAAAATCTCCTGATGGGAGCCATGATAACACCCCAAATCAGCACCACCACTGATGGGAGAATTACAAGATGCCAGGGACCACAGGGACGTGCCAGCCCCACCTGCAGCTGAGCCAGCACTCACCTCCCTCCCCAGCAGATCACCCCAAAACCACAGGGCGTGGGAAGCCTGTATCCCACACCTCCAGAGTTCTCCCAGTTAG